CCTCGGGCCTGCGGCGCGGGCTCAGGGGGCGCCGGGGAAACTGCTCGCGGCCGCGCCGGGCGGGCGGCGGGGCGCAGAGCGGCGGCTGGCGGGCAGGCGCGCCGAGGAAACAAGGGCTAGAAAAGCGCCAGAATCGCTTCGACCCTTTCCACCCGTGTGCGTGTGCGTGTGCGTGTGCGCGGGCGCGTGTACACACGGACACGCGCGCACCCCGTGTTACCGCTTGGCCGCCGGGGACGGGGCCGAGGCCAACGCTGACCCTCAGCAGTGGGACCTCAATGCCGCCCTGGCCTGAAGGGAAAGGAGGCGACTGCACATTCTTTACTGAGTATCGAGGGACGCCCGGCGTCATATTTACTTTCAAGTTGCATTCCTAGGTGTCCACGCAGAACCCGGGCGCGCGTGCGCGCTCCCCGGCCATTTCCACCTGAACACCCCGTCTGTGACCAGGGCCAGACAGCTCGGCGGGCCTGTGAAGGGGCCAGTGCAGGGACTATCGGGGCTCCAAAATAGTTAAGTCCATGTTTTTCCTCCGCCCATGACACTCTGGGCACCGGGTTAGGGCTGGACGCTGAAGAGTTCTGTCTACTTGGCAACCTTGAGGCCCAGGGCCCTGGTTTCTAAAGGTCTCCACCTTTGCCTAGCCGCCAGTCCTAGATGGTCGCACTTTCCCAAGGGATACAAGCACGTACACGGTCGCTTGCATGTGTACACACAGCCAGGGCAGTTTAAAATTCAGCAGCAGGAATAGACCCTGGGAGAAAAAGGCAAGAGGACAAACAAGTCGCATTTTTTTTTTTTTTTTTTTTTGTAGAGACAGAGTGTCACTTGTCACCCTCGGTAGAGTGCTGTGGTGTCACAGCTCACAGCAACCTCCAGGTCTAGGGCTTAGGCGATTCTTCTGCCTCAGCCTCCTGAGTTGCTGGGACTACAGGCGCCCGTCACAACGCTCGGCTATCTTTTTTTGTTGTTGTTGCAGTTTGGCTAGAGCTGGGTTTGAACCCGCCGCCCTCCGTATATGGGGCCGGCGCCCTACTGATTGAGCCACAGGCGCCGCCCCCCAAATTGCATGTCTTTAACTATTTTTATCTCTAAAAATCTTTGAAATATAAAGCACCAAGGAAAGAAAAACGATTACTAGAAGCACAGCAGCTTACTTGATGAGGGCTCAAGTACAAATATTGAGGAACACTGAATTGTTATGGTCACAGAAACATGACAGATGACTACTACAATGTGTACAAATATGTTATGACACTTTAAAACATTTGTGTCATTCCTAGTCTAAAATCAAAGCATTTATTCCTAAGCAAAATAAATAAATATAAAGACACATCGAATTGGGCCAGGCGCTATAGCTTACACCTGTAACACTACCAATATGAGAGGCCCAGGTTAGTAGACTGCCTGAGCTGAGCAGTTGGAGACCAAGCCTGAGCAAGAGCAAGACCGCATCTCTATTAAAAAATAGAAAAACTAGCCATGTGTCATGGTGGTGCACACCTATAGTCCTAGCTACTCAAGATTGCTTAAGCCTAAGAGTTTGAGGCTGCTGTGATATGATGCCTCAGCTGTCTACCCAAGGTAACAGACAGACTCTGTCTCAAAAACATGTTTTAATGTTTTTAAACATTAAAACAGCTGGGCACAGTGGCTCATGTCTGTAATCCTAGCATTCTGGGAGGCCGAGGCAGGTGGACTGGTAGAGCTGGCAAGTTCAAGACAGGCCTGAGCAATAGCAAAACCCCATCTCTAAAAAAAATAGCTGGTCATTGTGGTGGCACTTCTAGTCCCAGCTACTTGGGAAGCTGAGGCAGGAAGATCACTTGAGTCCAAGAGTCTAAGGTTGCTGAAGAAAACAACAAAACATTGAATTATTATTTTTTGTTTATTTTTTTAAAGATATGATTATCTCACTATGCTGGACTCCTGGGTTCAAAGGATCCTCTGTCTCAGCGCCTGAATAGCTGGCTGACCATAGGCTCTCTCTACCCATCTGGCTATATTTATTTCTTCATTTACTATATCCAGTCAACCAACATGCCAATTCTCATGTAGGAATGGACACCTTGGTACAAATTTCTTATCCAGGCAAGAGGAAATGAAGGGAGATGTTCCTTCCTGTCCTCCTGATGGTTGAGACAGAGTTCTCTTTTGTCTGTGGGCACTGGCGGGGAGGTGCTCTTGCCTGGATGGACACTGGGTATTGACTGACACCACATGTATGTTCTCAAAGAAATCCATACTAGTGCCACATTATGGCTTAGAAGTCTTCTCAGAACTCTGTCTTAAACCTCCAAAATTACTTTAGAGGAATTGAAAGACTTCGTGCTTCTTATACTCAGCATGTGAGTGAGGAAATGAGAGGACACAGAAAAGAAACTGTACTTCTGCAAAGGGAGTAGCCAGAGGAAGATGGATCCCCTATTCCCAGGGAAAGAAAAGCTTCCTTATTCTTTTTCTTCCTTTGCTCCCATAGAGCCTCACTTTACAAATTTTCCCAGACTAATTCCCTATGTGGCACCTTGGCTATAACCAGTCTCAGGACAGGTCTGTATTACAGTCTTTGACTAGGGTTATATATTCCCTGGAATGTTCTAGATATTCTTTCAATTGTGAAGAGTGAAACCATATTTTATTAGATTCCATTTTAAAGCATAAAGGTAAGTACTCCCAGGAAATATGGGGAAATTACTTGTCTTTGGATAATGCTGAGGCAGGGGAGGGGAAAACAGCCTGAGGCAGGAGCCCTGGGTTTGAATCCCAGATCTCTGCTTGAACTTTCCAACAACCCAACAACCCAACAACCTTCCAAACACACACACAGTGGACCTTTCACTTTCCAAGGTGTTTTCCACATCTACCAGCCAATGAATGATCTTTCTGGTAGCTTTGCCTGGTTGGATTCTACAAGGAGGGTGGCACTAGGAGGAGAAAAGAACGGGATGTAGCCAGTAGAGTCTAAAGAGTCTGAAAGGCCTGTGTTTTCTTTTCCTCATTTCTCGGGTCTGCCAAACAAAAGCTTTTTATTGCCAGTTTTCGCCACCTACTGGTTGATGTTTAACAGCGTTATTCAGAAAGTTCTCTTCATCCATCATCTCTATGCAGGTTCTCTAAGTTTATAAAATTCAAAAAGAGCATTATTTGAATCTGAACATACTAATGTGAATATTGGTGTGCATCAAATCTTCGCAGCTATTAAACTCTTCATTTAAAATGAAGACACAGAGAGACCATTAAATGAAGAATTGATAACTGATAGGTCAGATGAAGAGTTCAAAATATGTGACCCCAAACCATTTATTTTAGGTTAAAAATATAAACCATGACTTCAAACTGAAGCTTAAACAAATCCATAAAGAAAATTAGCTGACTAGACAGAGTAAAAACACGTAGTCCAATATAACTTATATAAAGGAAAAATGTGAACTGCTTATAAAATAACATCTCACAAGGCTCAATAAGCAATCCAAAATGCTGGTTTCTGATTTCAGGTACCTTATACAGTGTGGACTATGGTGCTGAATAAGGCCCAAGCATACTGTTCCCAATTCTTTTGTGCTTCAGAACCCATCTTCTACTCTAAGTGATCACATCCAAGTCGTACATTCTCTGCTCTCAAATCATTCTTGTCATAATCAGGAAACTCTTTTATCAAACCTACAACAGAAGGCCTTGGTTTAACTTAGAAACCCACCTAATCTATGATGGGTCCTAAGCCGCAAAAAATATTCAGAATAATTAAGCAACATCCTTTGAAACTGGGCAATGAACCACAAATAAATCTTTCTATTGTGAAAGTTTAACAGTGGGCAAATAATGTTTACTTTTGGTTTACAATAAAAAGCATAGGAAATTCACTTGTGACATGTTTTTTTTTTCCTTTCAAATTAATCTGGCATTTAAAGTGAAATAAACTAAAGGTAGGAACTTATACTTTTCAAATGCCACTGAAACTGCAGTAATAGAATAAAACAGGGTTTAACACCATAATATCAGTGGGGAATAGGTGAAGAATTTACAAACTTATGTGCAATAACTTTTATTTTCTTATGCTATTTAGCACCAACCACAGTTATCTTACAGATATTAATTGCTAATGAACACAATTCGAAAAATGGAGGTTACTATGTTTGTTTCCTAGGGCTGCCATGACAAAGTATCACAAACTGGGTGGCTTAAAACAATAGGCATTTATTCTCTTGCAGTTGTGGAGGCTGGAAATCCCAAATCAAGGCCTGACCAATTCCAAGCAGGGCCTGATCTCTCTGAAGCTCTGGGCAGCGTCCTGCCTCATCACTTCCTGGCATCTGGGGAGGGTGAAAGCTGTTCTTGGTATTCCTTGATGCAGTTGCATCTCTCTAATCTCTGCCTCTGCCGTGACATTCTTCCTGTGTGGCTGTGTGTTCTATTCCCACAGCTCAC